TCCTACCCACAACATTGCCTTTGGTTGCCATTTTCACCAGCAGTTTATTATACTTTAACTATTCCTACAATATTATTGTTATTGCTGTTCTTTAAATCACATAGTGAAAACCATAATTGTACACACACTCGCTCGGCACACTGAGGAAATGGGTGTGCACAGCAGAGGTAAGTTGGTTATAGGTCTTTGGTGAGTCATTTGGCCTAATTAGGTAAGTTTTTTAATTCATATACATTTTTTATTGAGAATTATAGGCAAAAAAAACAAAATATTATAATCATTTATGTTATTTTCATTTTAATGAAATAAAACGTCATTATTCAACTTTAAAGAACCATTTAAAATGCATATCTATTTTATTGACCGCATTTGTTCATGTATTTGGTGTTCATGCGTAGGCGACTGCAGACTATTGAAAAAGAGAGGGGCAATCGGGGGGACTCTCGTCATACGACCGACTGACTATGTCATGTGTTGTTGGGTCCAAGTGTGCGTGGTGTGGTGTGTGCTCCATGCTTTTTGCTTTTGTTCTGTTTCTTGTTCTTGTTCCTGCTCTTGTTAGTAGTGTTGTTATTACGGCTGGGTATTATTTACTTGGACTTTAGACCGTCTTCCCATGATAAGATTCGGGAGCAGCTGCGTGTAATGATGAGTGGGGTGGGGTGGGAGTGAAGTGGTTGGCTGGTACTATAGTGATGTCTGGTTGAATGAAAGATGCAAGAGATCCGCCATGTGAATCATTATTCAATCTGGCCCTCAGGCAAAACGCTTCTTGGAACAGTCGATTCTCCGATTCATTCGTTTTTCCGCGAGCCGAATGCAAATAAAAACACAATTAAATGCGGCTGGCTTGGCGAAAACAAGTTGAGTCACACACGGCAGGCAAATACATTGCATTTCGAAATGGCAAAATAAATGGCAGCAACAACGCTTGCGTAATTAATACCAATTTGGTCATGATCCAAAATGCAGAGCTAAAAGCAATAATAATGAAATAAACAAGAAGAGTGGGGATGGTTATTTCACGAAGTTTCGGATCACCTTCAAGATTTATTGCTTCTGTCAAGTATTCTTTTATGAAATTGATTAACTCTTTATCATTCATTCAAAACATCCTATAAATAAAATATATTTGTTTCTTTAATTTCTTTACTTTTAACGGTAAATCATTTCACAGTCACCACTTCATTATCATTGATACTTTTTATATAATATAAAATTAAAACAACTTTGTTTTAATACAAAATAGTTCTGGATTTTAAAATTTATGTATTTTATACTAAATTTATTGAAATTCTTCTAATTCTTAAATGATAAATAATTAAATGTTCTAATAATTTAATTTATTTCTTGCTACATAATTGTTTGTAAAATATAAAGACATAAAATAAAAAAATAAATATTATTCCAAGCAGTAAGGGAAAACAACAAACAACATTTTATTCGATTTTCTATCCTATCTGCCAAAATTTATTCCATTAAAAACAACTTAAAAACTACAAAAACAAGAACAACAACAGAGCAATAAACTCGCAGTGCGTGCATGCATGTATGGTAGTAAGAGTGGGGCGATGTTAAGTGAGGGGGAGTGTGGAGCGATTAGAAGACGCGCGTCTAAGTTCAAGGCCAAGCAGTTCAGAGCATAAGCAGTGAAGGCAGCAACAACAAAAGCGAAAAAACAACAGCAGCAGCAAGGCGAATGTGTGAGTGAGAAAGGTAAAGAGAGGGGCAAAGGGAAGAAGCAAACGCAGCTGAAAAAAGTGCACACAAAATTGTTTGCCTCTATGTGTGTGAGTATGTTGTTTCACTGCGAAAAAGGTCAATGACACCTGTCTGTTTGTCTCGCTCGGCTCACACACACACATACAGGCTTATCACCGGCCACTCTCTTTCGGCAATCGTGCCCTCTCATTCTAGCCTTCGTGCAGCTAAGTTCAGACATGTGGTCAAAGCTTTTTGTCGGTTCTTTTTTTGTTTTTTGGTTTTGGTTTTTGTTTTTAATGGCATTTGTAGTTGTATTGGTGTCGGTGTATGGGTTGTTGTTGTTTTTCGCTTTGCCGCTGTTTAATTAGTGTGGCCAAATTATGCGCCCAAATTGCCAACAACTGGATGGTCATACGTCATCAACAATAGCCGGACAAACAATTTCCGGTTTTTGGCCCACCATACCAAACAGCAGAAAACAAAAACAAAACAGAAAAAGACAGCCAATATTAAAAATAACATGCACGAAAATAAAATAATAAAAATACTGAGAAAAACAACAAACTTGGCCCGGGTTCCGTCATTGCCTCATCCTCTATAGATTCTTCGGGTTTTTCTGCTTTATTTTGGTTCTATTTCAGCAATTTGTTTTTGCGGCGACTTATTTTTGTCGCAAACACGCACACATACATATTTATGCTCGCCACACATACACTCACGCACACACACTGAAGCAGGCAGGCAAACTCGATTTAAAAATAAATAAATTACGCACAAATACAAATACATTGGCCAACATTCTTCGGGCCTCGTCAAAAATATAGCATGATTAATACAAAAATGCGCAATTCTCGATTATTTTTTTTTGTGAGTGTTCTTTTCTCTTTTTTTTTTTTTGGGGTTTTGCCCGTTGTTTTAACCCCACCTCCTAAATTTTTATGGCATTTCTCTGTTATTATACAATAATAACGCGAATATAATAAGAGCACACAGCAAGTGGGCAGTCCGGCAACGTAAATAGCAACAACAAGCGCAGCGGCACGCCAATTAGTGCTTATGCTTTTTAATTAGCAAACGCGGACCCATCCCCAACATTTCTCCCGTTTGCTATGTTCCTATTTTCCCATTTTCCTACTTTCCCGCCCCAAAAAGAACAAACCAACCTAGACGTAATATCTCCCCTATCGCCAGTTATTTTTTGTAATGTTTTTCCTATTCTCCACTACCACGGTTTCATTTCACTGCAATTAGACGGAGAGACCCTCAAGATCTATAGTTTTATTCCAGTTCTTACTTATTTTGTTTATAAATATAACTTCCAAGGTAGAAACCTTATAAAACATTTGTTATCCTTAGATATTTGAAATCCTTGAACCCTGAATTCAAGCTATCAAAGATTAAGTATTAAACATTTTTCCTACTCTTTCTTATGTAATCCTTAATTTTGGAAGAAATTTAGTATTGCTAATAAGCTACTATTACTAAATTAAAATAAGAAAGTTGAAGTAACTTACTTTAAGTAGGTTATACTAAGAAAGTTAAAGTTCCCGAAGTCCATAGACGCATTGACCTGTGTTTTTTCATGTTAAGTCTTTCAAATATATTTGAACAAATGATTAAATACATATATACATAACTAACCACTAGCTAACAAAATTTTAACTAAGTATCAATGAACATGAAATTTATTATAAAACTCTTTTCTTAAATTAATTAAAAGAAAAAGTTAATTATTATTAAAGTTTGAAATCTAAGAAGAGAATTTTTATAAGCATTTAATTAACCACCAAGTAATTAACAAAATAAATTTAATTAATTAAGTATTATGGTCATTTTTAAGCTTCAAATCATTTACTAGCATAAACACCATAACTACCATCACTACGACGAAAACATTTTAAGCTAATTGCATTTCTTAGAACAATTTATCTAAAAAGTAGGTCGGCAACTAGAAACTTTGTCAGCTTAATTATTAACTAGAAGTTTTGACAGTTTTGACATGCACATTTTTAACGACTTTGCTACATTTATTTTGATAAACATTAATTACCATCATATAAGGCTACATAATATTTGGGTGTACATTTCCAAAACTCAGACACTTGGTCACATCAAATTAAAAAATGAAAAAAAACCAAGCAAAACTGCACTGTCATGACTTTTTGACAACCAATGAAATTATGTGGTGCTCAACTTTGTTGTTAATTAAACACATTAAAATGAGCGTAAACAACATTTTCCAGCTTAAGACCAAATAAAAAACGTTTAACCAAAACCTTGACAAATCAACAGGTGAGTAAGCACAAAATTTATTGATGAAAAATGTTAAATACAAATGTGGTTTTTAATTGCAGAGGGGCGTAAAATGTGGGAAAGAGCGAAGGTTTTAGAGGAAAATAATCAAAAATATACATATGTATGGAAAATATAAAGATAAGACATTTTTAACAGTATTAACAGAAATAAAATAAAAATCAAGAATTAAAGAATTGACGTTTAAGAAATAAGTTTTTTATAAATAAAAAAATAATATTTTTTAAAATACGGCAAAATTTGCCAATTTAAATAAAAAAGGAAAAGGAAACTGTTGAGAAAAACATCTACTAACTTTTAATACACAATAAAAAAGGTTTAGAATTTATTGTTTAACCAATTCGCAATTAAATTAAAAATAACTAAGACAATTTTTGAATATTAAATAACCTACAAAAAAAAAAAAAATTCATCAAATCGCATTACAAAGTGTTAATGACACTTAATGTTGGATTTATTTAATTGGTAACTTATCTGCAACGCTTTTCAAAATGCGTGCAACAATAAAAACAAGAAGAACAACAGCAATAGGCACACAAAAACCGGCAGCAAATCCAAATTCTTTCATTTCTTTTCCGCCTCTCTTCGCGCAGCCGCTCACCACACTGAGCGGGAGAGGGCAACCGGGTGCGACCGCTAGCAAGAAGGAGAGAGAGTATAATGCTGGCTGCGCTGCTCATTCACAAAACGGAGACGTAAAGCGGTGTGCGAAGAAGAAGAACAACAGGCCCAAGATATGATAGATATGGAACAACAACAAAAGGAACAAGAGAAACCGGGTGAAGAGAGAGCATGAGTGAGGGATGGTGAGGGGGGTGTATAGGGAGCGGAGGACGAGGCGGAGGAGGAGAGCAAAAACAACTTGGCATAAATTGCTGCTGCGTAGTAATTTCAGTCGAGTATTTTTCTAGTTACGTTTTCACTACTATTTTCATTTTTATTATTATTGTTACGATTTGTTGTTATTGTTTTTGGTTACTTACCCCTTTGCAACGCCGTTGTTGTTCGGCATTGTTGTTGTTTTGTCACCTATTTCTTTTAGATTTTATTTTTTTGTATTTTATTTTGGTATCGATTTCAAAATAGAACGACGCACTTTCCCAGACGCAGGCGTAATTAAATTTTTCTTATGTTTTATTCGCGTGCTTTCTTTTTGCGCCGCAACTTCACAACATGCTGTATATATATACGTTCATATATATATAAATATTAGGACTGTGTGTGTGTATGCATATGCGTGTGTGTGTACACAAATTTTATTTATTTATTTACCGTGAATTTTACACACACACAACCAACCGGACATATTCCGCACTCACGAAAATTTGCCGCACTTGTATTTCGTGGAATTTCTTCTATTCCAACTCCAAATAGATATATCTCAAGCTATTTTCATCTGTATTTTCGCACATTTCATTCACCAAATGCTTTAAACACGATTTTTCCGCATTTGCATTGTATTAGATATTGGCAAATCCACAGTGGCCTCTATTTAACAACGATGCTTTTCCGCAGCAACAAAACACATTCACACAATTTCCCGCGACCGCGACACTTAACTTGCATTTTCGATCACACACACGCCGTCTTTTCTCCGCTCGATTCCGTGCTGTGTTCCGCTGCGCCCGAAAGTTGTTTTTGTACTGAGGGGGCGGCCGTTTTTGTGGACGCGAACAACGAGAGAGAGTCCCGATGGGTTTTTTTGTTTCTCGCCGTTGTTCACACTGAACGATGCTCTCTTTAGCGCCAACGCTCTCTCTCTGTTGATCTCTTTTGGTTAGCACGTTTTTAACATGGTAGAGCTAATAGCTAACAGTTGCAGAGCTCTGTTGTTAACGTTGCGTAGCTCTGTTGGTAACGAGGCCACAGTCCTTCCCTTTGCCTAAATAATTTTAAGAATTTGTTGTATAAAAAGTAACAAATCAAACAAACTTAAAATTAAGCAAAATAACAAAAAATCTATTATTTATCTATTTTTCTTTTTAAAAAGAATTTGATTTAATTTAAAAATAATATTTAAAATAAAATTAAAAGTAGCTATTCTTAAAAATATATCAAGCGAAAGAATTCAGATTGGTTTACAAAATAAATATTTTTTACAAGTTGTGAAATTAGAGATGCTAATCCCGCATCTCTAATTTCATTCATATTAAATAAAATCTAATAAAAATTATTACAAAATGAACGCTTTAATAGTCTTATATAACCGGCGTTTAGATAGTGTTTAAAAATGCATAACAGAATTTTTTAAAATTAAAAAATAACGTGTTATTTAAATTGATAAAAAAATAGCTAAAAGTAAGCTATTATTATTATTAATATATAATGTCAATGCCAATGTAATCTTGGGGTCAAACAAGTATTAATATATTTTTTACCAAACCAATTTAAACAATGAAAATGCTAAATTTAAAACAGTTAATAGAGCCCAGTTGGAAGACATGGGAGGACTTGTTGTATACGCAATATTTAAGCCTTCTAACAGCGCTCTGTAGAGTTTCAACGTTCACAAACACGCCATCTGTAACACTGAGGACGGCCGGAAGTCAACATTTCTCGCAACTGTTCACTCTGTTTTAATTCTGTTCTCAACGCTGTTCTCTTTTATCTTTCATGTTACTGAGCACTGTTGTTGACGACTGTTATGATAACGCCATCTATAGTTGTGGCAATGTTTAATGACATGCCATCTACATTTTTTCTACATTAAAGAAAAACCAAAATTTTGAAGTTAACTAAAATATGGTTATAAAATTTAATTTGGAATTGAATTCATAAATATTTCATATTCAAGGAAGAAGAAAAAAAGATGTAATAAGTGGTAAAATTATATATTTAGCCGCGTTGAAAACTTTAAAGATTATTATTTTTATAAATTGCTAAGCACTAACCTTTGAAAAAACGTAAAGGTCGATCGTTTACATTTTACATCCCTTTTTTGTGAATTCTGTGATACCTCTTAGGCTTTTTTAGGCTTAGTTTCCCTTTTACAGCCAATTACATCATATTTTTTTAAAATATCTTTAAGTTGTTTTAAGTTTTTCCTTAAAAAATCATTTTGATTTTCCCCAAAAGCTTTCGGTTATCTTTTGTAATCGTTTACGTTAATAAACCTGTCAGGCTCCTAAAAATGCAAAATATCCCTATTTTTATTTGAAGAAACTAAAGATATTTTATTTAAAAAGTTTTCAAAAGAAAACATTTCCCTTTAAAAAATATAACTAGTTGCTTATTTTGTAAAAATAATCAAACCTAATTTTAATAATTACTCAAAAAAAACGAAATTACTGAAGCAAAAAGTATAAGACTGTTTCTAAGTCCAAACAATTTATATCAATGTGAAGTGATTATTAAAGATGAAGATCTAAGCTCTTCAATTCTTTTTATACATTGCAGAAGATTCAAAATGAAGGCAATAAATAACTTTTGTCGCAAAATATTACACATTTGGCGATGAACTCCAAGCGCTGGATGGGCTTCAGTGGGAATAAGGTATTAGAAAAATTTAAAAATAAAAACTGTGTTGGCCCAGTTAGCTAAACAGATGTTGTCTGTAGTCTGAATGTGTGTCCAACAGTATTTCAAATTTAAAAGTCAAATATATGTATTTTTCCCAGTTTCCAAAGATTTCCAATTAATATCGAAAAACTCTAAACATTAAAAACAACAATTGCTTGATTTTAAAACTTTTTTTGTTTATTTTAAAGTTTTGTTTTGTTTTTTCTAAGATTTATTTTTTCTTTTTTCATGTGTTTGTTTTTTATTTATTTTGTTTTTTTCTGGAAAGAAAGAAAAGTACCTAACAAAGTGTTGTTTTTTCTTATAAAAATTAAACGTACAATTATACAGAGGTTTCGGTTTTTGTGGTTCTCGTTCTCCTTGTTTTATTTGTTGATTTTTTACAGTTTAATGATTTGCATTTGTTTGTTGCATTTATTATTTAGTTAAATATATATAACTTCTAGGCGAGAGTTTAAATAATTATTTATGTACTTGTAGTTGACTCTGTTAAGTTGTTTGTTGGTTGGTTGGTTGTTTGTTTGTTGTTTTGTGGGATGATTTGGCTTCTATGAATAAACTGCTATTGGGCCCATGTGTGTGTGTGTTTATAGTTTAAATTTTATAACAATAACAAATTATTATACATAGTTTATAGCTTTAATAATAGTAATTAAAAATCAATCGATAAATCGAAGCAAATGAAACAAATGGCAGAAGAAGTTTCCTTGTTGCATGCGAATATTGAAGGGGAAGAAGGGGCAAGGATGAGGTCAGGGGTCATGGGGCCCAGTTGTTGTTTCCTCATCTTCTTCTGCTGCTGTTCGAATTTGAAATGTCTTCCATCGTTTTTTTTACAATTTGAAATTGATTTTCTTTTTATTGTTTTTTAATTTTATGCTGATTGATTGACTTTACAACTATTTTGTTTTCTAATTAAAAATTATGTGTGTGTGTGTTGATTTTACTTTCTTTTTTCTTTACTAATTTACAGACAGTTCTAGCCCAAAAATGTACTTTTTTCTTTTGATAAGTAAGGGAAGTATTTTTTAACCATTTCATTTAAGATGGTTCTATTCCTGATTCTTAGCTTTTGCTTCTCCTTTTCTCGTTCGCTTTCTTTTTGTTTTAAGGCTAAAATTGAAATTTGCTTATAAAATGTGGCTCTTCTTGCTTCAACTTTCTCTTCTCCTTCCTTTGCTTTTCTCTTGTGAGGCTGAGTTTTTCGTAAAGTAGATTTTGTGTTTTCGTTTTTTCTTTTTGTTTCGCTTAAATTAGTTTGGGGTTTAAATTTAAATATATATATTTATATATATATATATTTGTATAATTTTTACGCTTAAAACTTTACACACAACTTAGTTTCATTAAGTTTTGCTGATTCGCTTTTTTTGTGTTTTGTTTTTTTGGATTTTTTGTTTGCTTGTTTGTTTGTGATTTTTGCAATCAAATAATTTAATAATTTGTAATTTGCGGGTTTTTGTTTGCGTTTGTTTTTGCCATTTGTATATAATTTAAAATTATAAACACCCCCAGAATCCCAATTTTGTTTGTAGATATATATATGTGTGTGTGAGTGTATATGTGTTTCTTGGACGTCTCTGCATCTTAGGGTCCATAGGCATCCGAGCCAAAGTCGAACAGCCGATCGATGCCCTCGTTGGCGTTCAGGGCATAAGGATAATCATTGTCGTCCGGTGGATTGATGGACACAAAAGCAATATCGTTGTTGAAGTCTGTAAATATAATTAAGAAATATTAGTTAAATATATAAGTGCAATATTCTAAAGTTTGATGGCTTTATAACTTTTAGTTTATTATTGATTTTTGTTTTGCCTTTGGACAAACATAGAGAGATAGAGAGCTGAATAGAGCGAGAGATGTTGGTGGATGCATGTTTGAAATTCACGCCAGAGCTGAATCTCATGGTGCTACAGAATTTCAATTTCAAAATTAACAATTGGCCCCGGGAGCGGTCAGTGTTGTTGTCAGTGCAGACCCACGAGAATTCAGTTCCAAAATGAATTTGACACGAGGACGATTGCTGACGTGGCGACAGGTTATCGATATCGCTATCGATATATATATACAGTTTTATGCACAATTATTATAGTTTTTATTTGATATTATTAGTTAATGTGTGTTAGCTTGATAAATGTGAGCACAAAGTAAATGTCTGGAGTGAGAGGCAGAGGTTAGATGTTAGTAGGGATGGGTTAATTGATTTTTAAAAAATATTTACACAGAGAAAGTGCCAATCTTCTTACAGATTTCTTGGGCATTTCTCATAAAACACGTTAAAACAAAAACTAAAATTAAAACTAACTCAAATTGTCAATTTTGAACTGATTCTCGTTGGCCAAAACATTGCAAATAACAAAATAAAATGTTTTTGAAAATTTTGAATAAGTTTTTTGGTTTTATTTAGAATTTCCTTGCTTTCCTTTTATGTTGCCTTGAGGTTGCCACGCTCAGCAAGAACTCAGACTGTGATGCGGCTTTTCGGATACACGCAGGTCACAGAGAAAGTTCTTGACAAGTGCGCCTCATTAAGATATTAACTTTGTCCTTAGTTAATATAAACTGTTAGCTGCTGTTATTTACATGATGACGACACACAAAAAATTCAGGCGGATGCAACATGATCATGGATGAATGAGCGGGCGACGGGCGATTGCAAGCACGATCATATATATATTATTTACAGAAATTTTTGCTCTTAAGGATATGCACAACAAAATGTGGCTGCCACAAAAATACTTACAGTCCGAGCCAATGTCGTTGAAGAGCGCATCGAGACCCTGGAGCGTGACGTTACTGCTGTTGCTATTGGCATCGCAATCGGCCACACTGGGCGGCAGGCTGTGGCGGCCATGGCTGAATGGCTGATGGGGATCTGCGTTGGCGCCAGCGCCAGCGATGTTGCCATAGCCGCCGTCATCGCCACCGCCGTTGCTGCTGCTGTTGTTGTTGTTGTTGTTGTTGTTGTTGTTGCTGCTGCTATCTGCAACGGCAGCAAATTGCATCTGCAGTGAACTTATCGCCGATGAATGTGTAGCTGCCGCCGCTCGGGATGCTGCTGCCGCTGCTGCAGATGTTGTGGTTGCATCTTCCATTGCACAATTATACATGGGCACATCGCTGCGTCGCTGACTGCTGCCACCGTAGCCTATTGTGGGTGGTTGGGAATTGCTGTTGCTGTTGTTGCTATGATTGCTGTGGTTGCTGTTGTTATGACTATTAAGCGTAGTGGTTGCTGCTGTTGCTGTTGCGCTGCCTGCTGCAATTGCAGCGGCTGCTGCCGCCCTTCGCCGCTTCGTAGGCGTTGGTGGCGAGGATTCTGTGAGGCTGCTAAACAGCTCCTGGATGGAGTTCTGCTGATGCTGCTGGAACTGATGGCTTCGAACCACCGGGTTCGTTAGTGTCGGCACCAGTTGACTCAGCTCCGTGTCCACATCGTCCTCATCTGGCTGCTGCTGCTGCTGGTGCAGCATCTGTTGCTGACTTTGCTGCTGCTGGTTCAGATTATGATGCTGGGCCATCGCAATATCACAAATGTTATTATATTCAGGCTGGGACTGCTTGGCGGCTTCCTCGATCGATTTGCTGAGGTTGCGGGCCGAGCGGTAGGGCGTGGGAACTGAAAAAAAAGAAATAATTATTATTAAGTAATTCAAAAAGGGAAGATAACATCCTAGTAACTAGAGTTTCCCCCAAACAAATGATAATCCCCTTTTCTGCCTTCCAACTCACCTAATCCTTTGGTGCTCAGGGCATCGATATTGTTGAAGAGCGGATCGTTCATGCGCTGGTTGGTCAGCGGATGCAGTCGTGTGGAGGTGGCCGTTCGGACGCATCCGGCACCCGGTGCTCCAACATAGCCGGCACCCGGCGCAATCGGCGAGTTCTCCGGCGAGGTGTCATGGCAGAGGAAGACGTTGATCTCCCCGCTGTTCTCCGCCTTCACATAAATCTCGCGCGGCAATTTTGTGTTGGGCAGCTAAAAAAGAAAGACGAAACGAAAACCGATTATTAAACAAATTCCAAATAATTAAATACAGATAAATAATAAAGGGGTTAGGAAACTAACTTCCAAAGGGGAGCGCGCGCGGTGTGAATTTCGAAGCGGTCGCCGACCGCTCGTCAGCAAAAGAGAAACACAAATGAAGCGAGTTTGGGAATGAGCAGCGGTTTTTTTGCCGCTCGCTTATTTTTAGAAATGATATTTTGCTTTTCGCTGATTCTTGCCCCCCGTCGTCTGCTTTTATTTTATTTTTTTTTTTATATTTTATTTTCTTCATTTTTATAGCCTCTCTTTTGCGTTGTTGTTATTTGGGCAATCAGTTATTGGCGTTGCCAGAGGGCTTGAAAAATTTATCAATGTTACCCTACGAAATCGAGATTTTCCAATTTGTTTCTCACTTTTTAAAGTTCATTCAACAGTTCAAGGCTAACGGAAACATTAAGCGTTGATATATTTTTTTATAAATAGTGCCGCATCTTCTTGAAAAACCAAGCAGCATTGGCGATTGGAAAAACTTTGTTGGACGAGGCCAGAAATTTACTTGATATCAAAAGAGAAGGTGGTGGAAGGAGAGCTAGGCGGGATTCCATTTCGCCTGTCGTGTCTGCCGCAGCGATGGCCTTCTATAAATAAGCACCACGTTTAATGGCATGCAGACGCTAAGAAGAAGCACCGCTGACTAGAGACAAAAAACCCAAGGAAAAGCTAGGAAAAGCTCTGACGTAGGCCCAACGTATATAGGAACTGGCTAAATAGATATGAGCCGTTCGTACAAAAATAAAAGATGGGCATATCGACAGTTTCCGATAGAGTTAAATGAGTCAAAAAGTATTAACAATGGCTGTTGCTATAGAAACTAATCATGAACATGCAAATTTTCATTTAAGAACTCGATCGCAAATCGCAAATGTTATTATATTCAGGGTTGGAAAAATATGTATATGATTGGTATCCTTCTTCCCATTTCCAACTTCCTCAACTGGTTTTCCCCTATTACAATTTTCCCAAATCCCTTACTCACCACAAGCTTGGCCTCTGGCGGCGCCTTGATCACAATGATGATCTGATCTTTGAACAGATCCACGTTAAGCAGGTCATTCTGCGTGACGTAGGCCATGCCGCCGGCGTTCTCCACCTCCTTCGAGATCTCCGCCAGACTGCCGCGCATCTGATCAATGGCCATGTTCAGCTCGTTCTCGGTCTGCTCCAGACGTTCCGATTCCGACTCGATGCGTCGTGACCGCTCTTGGCTAACCATCGACTGCCCACAGCGCCACTGGATGTTGTTCTTGGACTTCTTCTCCAAGATGTTAATGCCTTCTAGGACATTGGTGATGTCGTAGATACGTCGCTTCTGGACGTGCAACCGATTGGATGCCTCGTTCAGATCCACTACACCATCCGGCGACTCCTGCAGCAGGTCCACAAACTTTTTGGTCAGTATTCCCAGCGAAGTGTCCGCCCTATTACGATCTCCGCTCGACGAGCTCATGGCCACCGAAGCGGCCAAGTGTTGCTGCGGCGTTGACAGGGCAAAGGAGTGATGCGATGCCGGTTTGGCCACCCGCTCCACCACATCCTCGTCCAGCTCGCCATCGGCGTCATGGTGCAACTGGTGGTGGCTGTTCCGCAGCTGCTGGGGCGTACTGCTGGCCACATGCTTCTGGTAAACCACCGTCTGGTGGTGCGCACTCTGCTTAGCCTGTTTCTTAGGGTGGATCTCGTCGCTGACGGTTTGTGGCCGGCGTTTGACCTGCTAAGCAAAGGATAAATTATCATTCTTAACTGTTTTTAGATTGATTTATGCTCGGAACCTTAAGCAAATCATAATTTCTTAAGCTTACCTTGTAGTAATTTGTGATATCGTTGGACTTGCCGGTAACCTTGCGCTGATGCTGCTGCGCATGGCCCGCCGATGCTGTAGCCACTGCCCCCGTGCCGTGCCCCTTATCCAGACTGATGTACACATGATCCCTTAGATGAGCTGCAACGCCGCTGTTGCTATTGCTATTGCTGTTGCTATCGCTACTGCTCAGACCATGATCATAGTCCAGATCGAGGGTCTCGTTCTTGATCACAATATTGTTGTTGTTGTTGTTGATGTTGGTGTTGCCGCCGAGCAGATCATAGTTGAGTCTGCGGGCGACCATCGTGTGGCCGCCAGTTGTCCCGCCCGCGCCATAACCGTGTTGCTGTTGGTGTCTCTGGTTGCTGTTATTGCCGCTGTTGTTACTGTTGCTGCTGCTGTTGATGGGGGCAACATTTACAAAGAACTTGGACATTTCGCTGCCGGTTCTTCGGTGATTCTTCGGCGATTCTCCGCCTCAATCGCTCTCTTTCACTTCCACTCTCTCTCTCTCTCTCTCTGACTGTCGGTTGGCTGTATATTTATGTATATCTGTATATATGTGGCTGATTCTGTTAAGTTCGCCTCAGTCGGCAATCGCTGGCATTATTTTGTAGCATACTTTTAAGCACTGCCTTAGAAAAGTTGCCACCCAGTCGGAATTTTCCAGTTCTTGTGTCGGTTGACTTATTGTACTGCCTGTTTATCGCTCTCTCTCTCTATCGTTTGTATTTTGCGCTTATCAACTAAATTAGCACCTAAGGATTCTTCACATCTGCAAAAGAACAAACAAAGAATAGAGATAAGGTTAAATGTTATGCGTTTTATTCTAATTGGGTATTATTTATAGCTAGCTTGACCTGCTTTCTCAATATTTCCTATGCATTTGGCACATTAAACTTTTGATCTGTCTCTTATTTCTGTCCAGTGGGGCGAAACAAAAACAAAAACAACAAATAAAAATGCGCAAGCGACAAGCAAACGAATGTATATGTATATGTGGAAATGCAAATAAATACGAAACGAAAGGCAAATGAAGAAAGAAAACAATTTCACGACTATAAAAAAAAGAGTGCTGAAAAAAGTCGGAGAAGAAACGTTAGGGAGAAAAACGGGTAAGTAATGAGAGAGAGACTATTTACACGGTTTTTATATGGCCCAAACTAGAGCAGACAGAAATAAGTTTATGCAGAAAGTGTGATAAGAGACAATGGTACAACGACAATGGACAATAATGGTAATTGACTGATTAACATTTTCGCTCTAAATACATATTTAAGTTAATAAAGCTTTAAGAAGCATAAAATATCGTAAACATAAGGTGACTAACACACAAGTTAGTTATTTTATTTATCGTCTTGATAATAAAATTCCTAAATAGGTTTACTCGATATTTCCCAACCGGAAGTCCAAAGTTTCCACAATAGTTTTACACACTTTTCGAAGTAGATTAATAGGTCAGCAAAACAAATTTATTTAAAGGCATTCCATTTAAAACTGTGTAAATAAGAAGGCAGGCATACATAAATGTCATATAATTAATCAAACTGTTAGTTCTATAACTTCTTTCTGTTATCTTTTGATGGAAGCGTTTGAAATGCAACCAAACCACACAAAAAACCAGATGATAAGCAGAAACTTCAAAGATACAGGAACTAAAAAAATAAATATAAAAAACGATTAAACCAAAAAATAACAAAAAAACGCAAAAGAACCGGATTCAAGTGGTGGGCTAAAAAGAGTGGCGAGGGGAAGGGGAAACGGTCCGCTCTGAAGCATGCCGAAACTATTTCTGAGCCCAAGAAGAAGAGTCGCGCGCGAGCTAAGTTCGCACACAAAATGTCAATAAACTCGGCATAAAATATTAAACAATCAATATGTGTGTATGGCGGAATCAGAATCAGAAGGCAAAGGCAACAAACAACCAGGCAAAAGAGAGAAGGCGGAGAGATAGAAACAAGAAAAACCATCAGGTAAGGAGAAGAAAATAACGTTATTGCTGCGGTCTCGGCTTGAACCGCTTTTGGCCAAATACAAGCCATGGACAGTCTACACGGTTTAGGCACTGAGAGAAATGATATATCAGGATTTTTATCTTATTTTAAATGTTTATGAATTACTGAAAATTAAAAATCTATTTCTAAGATTTTTTATCAATATAATTTGTATCATATTAAATTGGAGTAATAAACATTTATAAACCAATATGTTGAATGATTTTTAATATTTAATAAGCAAATCCATAATAAATCACAGAAACAGTCATACATAACATTTGTATCATTTGTATCATGTTTAAATACGTCTAAAATCTTGATTTGTCGCCTAAAAATAATTGTGCAATTTGTGATATCATCAATATATCAACTTATTTTTCTAAGTGCCCGACTACCTGTCACCTCTTGTTCCACAAGCCCAACTTTAAGTTCATTAGAGGCATTCTGGCCCCATTCGCGACTAAAGTGAGCATGAATGGAAGACGACGACAACAACAACAAATTAAAAAGCTCAAATGAGCGTAAAAATAAAAACAACAACAATAGGCAGGTAAAAATGGCAATTAGCGCTGCTCGCTGCCCTGCATGCAATGTTAATTTGCATAACAGAAACTGTTAACTAAACAGCCCAACGGTTATGAATTTAGCAAAATAGCAAAAAACCTGATAATCTTTCTAAGCGTTGCAAGAGAAGGAAAAAACCCCACAGAATGATAACTCATAAGTAAAATGAACCGAAGACCTGCGCTTAAATGTCGCACGGAATTTGCTGAAATTAGCAAGAAAATTGGAATGGTAAATGCGCGGCAGGTAGGCAAGCCAACAAGCCATTGAAACATTGACATTGCACAGTGGCCTTGGCGTTTCGAAATTACCTTTCAAATTTTCACCTACTTCAAGGTAGGTTAATTTGGTAACTGATAATCTATGACAGTGATTTGGAAATTTCTCAAGATTAGCTGGGTAAAAAACATATTAAAACTATAATAATTTGGAGACTTTGAAAGTTAAATGCGAAACAATAATCGGTTTAGTTAATAAAAAGCCACGTCATTATTAGGATTTTTATGTTTTTTCTTAAGAACATGATATAAATTTATTAAGTCACGTAAATGAGGCTTTTTTAATTTTTATTTATCAGAAAAATACCAAGAAATAATGGTATTATAAAACAAGGTAATTTTTAATAAGAAAATAAATAAAAATAATTTGTGCTTCTTTAAGTCTAATTTGTTCTCTTACATTTATTGGAATGGTTATAGTTTTAAAAGTATTAATTATTTAATATTTATTTTGCACTCCCCTCCCTCCTTTCTTTCTCCCTATCTCTGTCCCACTAAATTGCAGTCGCGTTGGCGGCAACTTAATTCCCTGATTTTTTTTTTGCAAACGTTTCTACATTAGCCAAAAGCTTTGCCATGATTCTTCAAGCGTGTGTTAATGTCTAGGTGTGTGTATGTATGAGCTAAAAAAGAAAAAAACAAAAAAAAAAACGGTATCTGCTTACAGACGAACGAGCTCAGGTAATTCAACTCCTATACATGGAAATCGTATACTCTCTCTCTTTCTTTCTTTCTCCCTCCAAAAGAAATGTTAAATTCATGTGGGCCAGACAAAAGGCGGATGAAGAAAAGAGGGGAAGTGGGGGAAAGGGTTCCAAAATAAAAACCAGGTAGGTCTCGCCGATTGAAATTTCCAATTTAAGTTTCTTTTGATCGGCACGCAAAATGCGAACAAGTAGCTGGAAATACTTTGCATCTAAACTTACAGTGGGACGTATAAAATTACCCAAGAACAACACAATTTAGCAAGAAAAATAACGGGGAAGGAGATTGACAAGACTTAAGATAATAAACAAATAAAGGTGAAGAAAAAATAAGTATTATTTATTACTCAGGTCTTTAAAACTGAAAAAAAGGTTTAATAATACTTTTTCAAGACCTTTTAATGTAAAGATCGAATGTTTTATAAAGGTCAAAACTACCAGCAGTAAAAGTTTTATTTAACTTTTAATATAATATACAAATGTTAAGTTTGAATGTAAAAATTTTATAAAATTGATTTATATTTGTAAATTAAAAGAAGTTTTCAAGACCTTTTACCATTTAAGAAGATTAAACACGGAAGGTTGATTAAGTAATACCCCCTCCAATTTTGATCTCCAAAAAAAAAGGTACCTTGAAGATAATGTATCTGTAGTATCTGTATAATAACAACTTCCAAGTGCACTTGTCAGTCATCTCTGCATATATTTATCTAACAGCAGAGGGCGAAGCACAAGGCGAGGCAAACAGAGAGAAATAACATTATGCAAACAGGGAAATGGACGTGAAAATACCAAACGGCGAGTGGAAAATCGTGGAAAATGTGGCCTACACGGCAAATAAATAACAAGTTTTTCTTTCGTTGTTTTTTTTTTCAATCTACTTTATTTCTCTCTCTCTTTTCAATCAACATTGGCGCAACAGAGCGGAGCAACAATAAGAAAAAGAAATAGGTTTTCTTTGCATTTCGTTCTTATTGAGAGCCGCACACAATTTGTATGACTGATAAAGGAAAAGGCTAGAAAATAAAACGTACACATTATGTAGGGGCCACAGTAAATAATTCCGCTGGGGGTTACCACAGGGTGGGGGATGGCGAGGAGGCAGAGGTGGACCGAGAGAGGCAGCCAAGCGACCCAAGGCACGCAATGCGACTTTTGATAGCGCTGCTGCCCCTGTTTCTCGCTCTTACTCACACGTTTGCCGTGTTAATTACAAATTAAAAAGAGTACAAAACACCAAAAAATGCCAGCGAAGTGTAGTAAAAACGATAAAAGAACGGGGCTTACTGTTTTAATAAATTAATACAATTTAAATTGTTTACTTAAGTTGCAAGTTCAATGAATAAATGGATTATATTCTTCTAATGCCAGCTAATTTAAAATTATGTTTACTTAACCAACTTAACTTGATTTCCAATTATGTTATCAATTAATCACCATTTTTCTCTCTTGTGAATAAAATAACGGCCAAAACGGATAAGTGCAAATGCATTTCCTGCTTTAAGTCCCAAATCGAATGCTCCTAATTGCAAAGCATTAAGTTTGCAAATATAACTTATTCCTCTCTGGCATGCCAATTTACCGTTATTAATTATGAAGTCCATGCATTTACATGGTTATTAATTATGCATTATGTTATTCATGCAGAGACACACACACACACACACATACTCATACAAGCAGAACACCCACACAGCCAGCGAAAAGCTAATAAAAAGTTTCGCTTTCTTTTTGCACATCATTTTGCATGCGCAGTAGAAAAGCAGGGACAAGTGAAATAAATACAAATAATGTGCGAGTGTGCAAGGTGTTAAGCAACAACAATTGCAATTGAGGAAAAAAGTGAAGCAACAAAAAAAGAAAACAAGAGGAAGAACACGAATTTTGTGTATTAAGCGGCAGTTGAGAAAAAAAGAGAGAGAGAGAGTCTGCAAGTGAAGATGTTTGTGTGTGTGTTGGATGCTGCAGGGAAAGAGAAGAGAGAGAGAGAGAGATAGAAGGAGAGTAAAAGCCGGCCTGAATACGAATAACAGCTGTTATTCACAGACACCATCCACATGGGACTTCTCCTCTGTTGTTTGTGTTTTTGTTGCTAGCAGAGAAAAAAAAACGTCCACATGGTTGATTTTTTTTCTCTAGCCGGTTTTTATTTTCTCTATTAAGTTAATTCCATTTACCCAATTATACTTGGCCTTAAGCAATCGGCTAATTTGGACAAATAAAATAAAATTACATTTCTTATAAGCCTCGCCTTAACTTTTTTTTCTCCGTTTTCTCGTTTTGAGAAAGCCGAAAATAATTGCCAACTGGCCGAGAAAAAGAGCGAAAGAGAAGGCAGCTTTTATCCAGGGAGAGGCGCACAAAATGCGTCGCAAAATATTTCGCCCACAGAAAACTGCAAACAGTAAAGAAAAGAAAAACCGGGAAAGGGAAAACTTTTCGCGTGGGTGTGTGGAAATTCAATGCCGGCAGTACGGAGCAAAGAAGAATTTCCGGGGAAGTCCCCCTCACAATGCTTAACCATAATACATTATGTACTAAACTCCACTCGACTCTCGCTTGATGACGCATTTAGAGTCAATCGAATATTGTGTGCTCGAAAGGCCTGATAACGGGAACCCTAGAGTATATATGTACATATATAATGTATACAAGTACAAACACTATACATTGTGCAGTTGTCAAGTACATGCACAGATTAAAGCGGAAAAACAGTTCACATATGTACAAGGCCCGTTAAAAGGTACGAAGAACGTTAAAAGTAATAGCCAATTACAAAAGCTTCATTAAATATTAAATAGCAATCTAAAAAAGTCAACATGATCAGTTTGATATACAGAAAGCTCTATTAAATAACACTTAAAGCTTGAATTTATTTTTAAATAGCATTTCAATTTGGGGAATGATATTATACAGATAGGATCTCAAATGATATAAAATTATATGGTTTAAACTTCTTTGTAAAACAGCCACCGGAACTGAAGACTATAAAAACTAGACTTCACCTTGTAAAAGTTACAATTACAGCAGTAATATTTAGTTAGTGATAAATCCAAATGATAAAATCTATTTACAGGGAAGCTTTTAACGAGTTGGCGGCTTATCTTTTTAATCAAACTGTAATTTAGTATAATATAATCAAACAATTTTATTTTTACCACGTCAACACAATAACTTCACTGAGCTTAAGTAAAAAAATAGAAATATGATTATTTTCGAGAAATCATATAAGTTATGTTTTTTTTTTATATAAAATTAAGTTTCTTAGGAATTTATTCAGTGTTTGTTTCATTTTAACTTAAAATTCCAGTTTGTAATTTAACATTTTGAAAACTTTTTATATTTTTAATCTTATATTACATGTACAATCTTTCCCCCGTAAAATGAGCTTCAGGATATATATTAATATTTTACAAATCCTTTTATTTTCCCTTTTTTAAACATCTTTCGCCCTTCAAGTGCAACAAAACACATGAAAATCTTTTAAACTCAACTAATGTTTGTCTAAACGTGTAGAAAAATTAATCTAAAGGCGCCATTTGAAATCGCCGCCGACTTTGGGCAAACACAAAATTAAAACTCACTGATGGACAACAAATTTTTGATTCCTTATCTCTATATAAACTAGAGCATTGGTGGATTGATTGAATGAGAGAGTGAATGACTACTATGCACCGTATCAGTTTTGTAGGTTATTAGTTGGGCTTAAGGCGAACACCGAACCCGAAAAAGTGAATGATTAATTGATCATTGGTAAGGTGGAAGGAAGAAAGACGCTGTTCGAATACGCACCTATAAATTGGAATTCTTGTCGCTTTTTTTCTTGCTTTCTATATATTATCACACGCAACAACAACAACAAATTGCTCTGCTGCTTCTTCGTTTTTCTTTCCACCGCCGTCAGCTCTTCTTCTTGCTCTTTGAATATCACACACGTTTCATATTTGCAAATTTTTTCATTTTTTTGCGGGTGTTTTGCCTTTTTCTTTCGGTTACTTTTTTTTGTATTCCACGTATTATATACTGCTGCTTCTTCTTTTCGTTTTTTTTGACTCAGTCTATATGTGTGTTGGTGTGTGTGGGAACTTTTAACTTTACTACACGACGTTTTCGTTTCCCTTCTATATTCTCTATATATTCTACGATTCTGTGCGTGACGTCAGCAGTTCGAGCATTTGTTGTAGATATCACATAATTGTTACACGCGCGCACTTTTCTTTTACGTTTTTTTCTTTGATTAGCGTATTTTGCAGCGACTTTGAAGCTTTTTACTTTGCAGTTGCCGTTGCAGTCTTTTGCGGCTTTTCGGTTTGGTATTTCCCCCTGCAGTTAGTTTTCTATCAGTTTTCCATTTTCACATTTTTGCGGACTGGCGAACGAAAAGCGAACTGAACTTCTTGGGCCACAAAATGAGTGTGTGTGTTGTGCCGTGTCTTTTTGGAGTCGCCGTCGCCGGCAAAAACGCAATCCACACGCGGAGAAAGAGAATCGGGGAGAGAGAATCAGCGACAGAGAGAGAGAGAGAGAGAGCGGGAGTCAGCTTTACGTCAACCGGAGAAAACGTAAGCGGCAACGTTATGGCACTTTTATTTTATCAACTTGCTGTTGCTAATTTATCGTTTAAAACTATATTTACTTTGCTATACCTCAGTCTTTTACTCTTTTGACTCAGTTGACTTTTCTTTTCGGTTGTTGAAATTTTCTTTCGACTTTTCCCCAACGTGTTTTCTTGTCGCACATGTGTGTGTTTGTAGGGGTGGCAGCGACAACAGCAATATTTGTTTTTGTTTTTAGATTTTCGAGTGCGGTACCGACGGTTTGTATGAAGATTGCGATTTTTAACAATTTATCTCGCTAGAAACGCTTCTTGAATTTTTGCCCGACTTTACGCGACTGACGATATAATAAAATGTATATAGCCAGCCTTATCAACATCATGATGCATCAACATCCACAATGTTGCCGCTCTTAACGTGTTTTTGTGTTCGCGACAACAACGAGCAAACTGATTGCGGCGAATCGGCATGAATGCCCAAGAGCCACAAAGCGAACGTTGTCGGCGAATTCAAGGCGGCAGCAGCTGAGCGCTAGCGACAATGGGAGAGAAGAGAGAGAGAGCGAATCGGAGAGAGTGGAATGTGGACTTCGAGGGGAGAGAAACTGATCAGACGATATCGATGCGATAGTAACGATAGTTTATCAAATTTGAAGTTAGCGATTATTTGAGGTTTTTATTATAATGCAATCAAAGTTTTTATCTACATATTTTATTTACTTTTATTATCAGAAAATGTTTTTGCTGTTTTAAAATTTGAAAAAAGTTATTGTGAAAGTTAAAGATTGATTATCAGAGAACAAATATTTCTTATCTAAGCTTATAACAAAATCAATTTATTTAGTCTTAAATTGAACTACAAATTGTTTACTTTATGATGGAAGAAAATCACTTTCCACACATGTTTATAGCCCTCCTTAAAGTTTTACCACTTTTCCGTTGCTATAAAAACTGAAGCTTGAAAATGAGAAAAACCTTACTAATTGCAGCGAATTAGCGGCAACAGCTGAGCAAGAGACAGGGAGCTAGAGTAACAGTGTGTGTGAGAGGAAGGGAGGCGGAAAGCGAAAGCGCGCGAGAGTGGAACGTGTATGGCGCTCACTCTTCCTCTTCCCATGTGGCATGTGGAAGCCAGACTCGAATGTTCGCTGAGTAGCAGAGAGTTGAGCGGCTTTTTGGCCCCATCCCTTTTCACTCTCTTTCGCTTACCGGCTACAAATCGGCTGAAAATCGCTCAGACGGAAGTTGTCGACGGCGCTGTTACCGCACCCACTATGGCAGTGCCGCCAGCAGAGACGTTGGCAGAGAACCCTCTCACTCACTTCCTCCAATACCTCCACCCCCATTCCCCTCCCCCTATCTTCCTCATCTTCTTTATCTTTATCAGTTGTGTGCCAAGTGTTGCATTGCATTGCAGTGACGACATTGTAGTAGCTGGCAGCGCTGCAACGTTGCCGCTTTTCAGAACCCCCAGCTTTGGGGGTCAATTTTTTTAAGGCCGGAAATTGCCATTATATGGGGTATAACTTATTTTGGCACTATCTTAAGGTGATTTATAAATTCCCAGCACGGCAGAGATTTTTTTGGGTATTTTTGTGTTTAAAAACAAAATCACCAACGGTTCCAGTGTAAAATAGCAAGTTCAACTATTTATTTTGCTTCTGACCTGATTAAAGAAACCTGTTAAAATATTTAACTAGCCATTCAATGTTGCTAAACAGATAAACAAGCTACTATAATGCCAAGAAATTTCTGGAGTTACCAAACAAATATTTGAAAACTACACACTTCTCTTTTTAAGTCAAGCAAATCTTGTTCTTGTAATTAGTTCAAATCGTTTTCTGGTTTTCAGTTTTACCCAAAAATCTGTTTAAATATTTGCAACTCATGCTGCTTGCTTCCATTTTGATTCCTTTCAGTGTATGATATACAATTGTATCTCAGAAATCTGTACAACTTGTCAGGCGATCTTCAGACTCTTTCCCATACCTAAAAAAGAAACCATAAAAAACAGTGAAACATCACCCCACAAGAACCCAAAAAATGTAATCTCCTTTCCAGTTTTCAATTTCTATTAACTTTTTCTCCAGGCAGTTTTTTGGGTTTCTTTTTTTGTTATGTTTATTTTTTTTTTGCTTGAGACTCGCGTTGTCTTTTGGATATTTTGGGTGGGGAGGCTAAAGACACTCACAGAGATATATCCGTGAGTGTGATTTTTTTCGCATTTCCCATAAACCAGATACAAAGCTAGCAGACAACAAGAAGAAGAAGTGAGGGGAAGAGGGCCGAGAATCACCCCTCACAGCCGCAAAAAGAAAGGAACTTTGGCCTCTTGTATGTCTCCCTACCCCTCCCTCTTCGCTTCTCTCTGCATATGCAATTAGAGTATCTCTATGCTTGATTTTTTTCCAACCATTTTTTTGTTGCAAGATGTTTTTTATTTTATTTTTTTTTTTGCCATATAGAAGAACTTCCCACGATCCTTGGGTGGACTTTTGTACTTTGGAAGACATTTTATGTGCGCAGTGTCATAAATACTTTTAATTAACTGGAAATGCGTGTGTGCGAGAGTGCCTGGTTTGTATTTGTTTGTATTGGTGACTACTATATATCTGTGTATCCGTTTTCTACCCATTCCCCAGTACCTAAGAGCGGGGCGTGAGTTTCCAGAGGCGTATTTACCATAATTTGCTTGATTTTTTCCCGTATGTCATATCATAAAGTTTTACGGGTGTGGGCAAGGGAAAAACAGAGGCAGAAAGAGAGAGAGGGGGTGGAAGACAAAGCGGTGGCATAGATACACACTAATACACAAGCGTACATATTTGAGCAGATGTTTTTTTTGTTTTTGGCCTTAGATCAATGAACTCATTGCCCAAAACTCAGCTTAGACACTTGCGACATATTCGCAAGACGAGTGCGAATAACAGGGGCGTTGTAGTTGTTTATTAAGGGGGTTTATTGCCCCTCCGATAAGTTAAAATAACTATTTAATATATTTATAAAAAGTACTAAAAAAGTATAAAAGATCTGCAGTCCGAATTTCATTCTCATAATTTAAAGATAGTTTAAACTAAATTTTAAGCTAAGCGTTTTAAACCTTAGTTTAGAATATTTATTACCTTTAAATCTTAAAATTTTAATATATAAAACATAAACAAAGCTACTTCTTCGAAAACTTTTACAAAATATTTTCAGCAAAACAAAATGTATTTCATTTTTCCCTTTAAAATCTCTTAAAATTTGTACAGGTTCCAGAAAATATTCTTGGGCGGCATTGCACGCCCTCTGAAACTTCACCATATCAAGTAAATAGCACTTTATCTAAAATCATTTCATATAGAGTGTTTAAAGATATTTATTAGATTTACTAGTTTCTTTATATCTTACAAACAAAAACGAATCGATTAAATTCATTCAATTTCCCTGAAAAGTATGCTACACTTTTTCAAATGCCAAAAACTCACAGGAAATTTTTAAATTAGAATAACAATTAACAGTGGTAACCCGAAGTAAAAAAAAAGCAAATATTTGTAATTATTTGGTTATCTTGATCCTTAAAATTTTTAATATTTGTTCAAAAACCTACGATTTTTTCTGAAAAATAAACATTTAAAACTTTTGTCGACTTGCCTCTCAGAACATTTATCCTTTTCAGTTAATTTCCAACCCAGACGCATTTAGCCGGCAGCGTTTTGAAGTCTGAGAGCCCGAAGGAACTGCGTCAGGAGGCATTCAGCAGGCTCCTCGTCAACCTCGTCATCATGCCACTGCCACTTCTTTCATCCTGCTCTTCCTGCAGCAACTCCTTTCTCATCAACGTCAGAGCTGGCAGCAGCAACCCCTTTGCCTTTGCCTTTAGTGGGGTGCAAATATATAGTACTATATAGCGTATATCCCCCCACAGCCACCTCCTTTGGCTTACCTCTCGAACAGCCAGACATATGGGAAATGTGAGAGAGAGAAAGGGAAATACAAGAAGAGGAAACCACGACGCCGGCATGGAATGCAATCAGCAAGAAAACTACTTGAGAATCTCAAGCCACGGCGCGATATTCAAAATTGAAAATAAAAGTGAAACAAAAAAGGGGGAAGAGGTGGCCAGGGTGGTCAGGGTGGACAGGGAGGTAGGTGGAACGAGACGACTGTTGAAGTTGACGTCGACGTTGCCGCCTGTTTGACAGAATGTCAGTCAGAATTTTAGAGCCATGGGCTTGGAGTTTTCCATTCACAGGCAGCAGCCAGCTTTTGAAGTGCACTGAGAGAAAAGTGATTTGCTAATACGATTTTCAGGGCGCCAAAGATTATATTTAGTATTATCTTTTGCTGGCTTGCTGTATGATATAACATTTTAAAAATATTTATCCTTACAAAAGTATATTCAATAATATCTATATAAGAAGTTTTTTTTACACTGTATCCTCCTCCTTAGATTTTCTTTTCCCTCCAGCCGTTTGACTGCAAGAAACATTTATTGAACATCTTGTGGCACATCCTGGATTTTCCCTGAAATTGATTGTGTCATTGCGGAGAAGTCTCCACACTCCTTCAGTTTTCCTAGACGTCAGCACCTTCAGACCTCACCACTGCCAACTTTTCTTCCCTCATTTCGTACTGGTTTAAAATTTTTCATTCGCAACATTTCCATTTCCTATTTTTACACACAAATTGCAAATTAAATTGATTTGCATGTTAATTATTCTTACAGACATTACATTACGTTCGGGGAATGAACACCATTTAAGTGGAAAGTACTCGATTATTGTGATAATGAGTCAGTGGAAAAGTACTCGATGCAGTGGTAAGTCGGAAAGGGTTTCTCAAGAAAACTTTAAATATAATATTATAAGAAGAAAGGGTTTTATTGGAATATAATCAAAAAGATATTAATAGAATATCTCGGCGATCCAGGATTTTAAAAAATATTAAATTAAGAAGGAAAACATCAAGAAATCTATAAGTAGGATATTATTATAAACTTAAAAACACCGATTTCTTTACTTTTCTGTTGATAGAGATTAATTAATCACCATGTATTAGTTTAAAAATCATAAATAACCTTCAATTGCCCGTTAAACAAAGGAATGACTTGAAAGTTTTCTTAACCATAAATACCCTCTATCAGTTGATTTTATTTCTACATACAAAATGTCGAATGTTAGGCGGTTAGGAAAACTACAAAAAGCAAAAACAATGACAACGAATTACGAATCACATTGCTCAACGATCGACATTGAGACGTGCGACCCCACTGGATCCCCACCACCCGCGGCCGCTTCTCTTTTTCCAACCCAATGTGTGGGAAAGAGAGAAATACCTAAAGTGGACTACCTGTCCGCCCTAACTGTGAGTACGGCGACGACGATTACTCAACAAACTCACAGATACTCTGCAAACGCACACCACAATATACCGACTTACATATATGGTTAGACATACTCGGTTTTTGGTTTTCT